GTACCCTGATAGCAGGCTAGTGGGGTAGATAAAACTGCTGGGGTCCTGCAGATTTGATCTACAAATCCAATTGGGAGGACCTGAGAATCATAGATGAGATGTTGATTTCTCAGGATGATGAAAGAGTAGCTTCATCCTGAGAGATCAAAGTCTCTACAGCCTTCTTGACAATCACCTTAGACAGAGGCAAAAGATGGGCTCCAGCTCTGGGGAGATGTCCACACAGCCAGGCATCACGCCCATGCGGGCTTGGAGCCCCGCATGCCTCTGGCTGGGGTCTGATCAAGCACAAGAGATGGAGGCCATAGAAGGACCTTCTGGTCTCACTGCAGGGACTTCCCTGCACAAGCATTTCTACTTTGGCAAAAAAAAAAAAAAAAAAAAAAGACCCAGCAAACCCAACTCCCAGGGTGATGCAGAGGTATCAATGAGATGACAGAGGAAAGTGAGCTTTGGAAATGGAGCTGCCTTTCGCAATTGCTAATTACCTGCCTGCGTTGCAATAAAAAATAATCTCTCCCAACAGCAAAGGGGTGGAGTTTACCAGCAAACTCGAAGGCAGTTTCCCCCTGTGAGCTTTGGTGGCAGTGACTACAACTGGCACATCATCTCTTTGACTTGAGGCTCAATTTTTATTTCCCACCTCTGCTGTCTACTCTGTGACCCACCCAGGTTCTCTCTGGGCCACAAGCACTCATGAACCCAGGCCGCACAAACACACATGCATGTGCTCAGCGTGTCCTACATCTGAAGAAGACAAAACTAGAGACATGGAAACACGTGACAAGAGTCTGATGTGGCAATCCTGGGATGTTCTGCCATCTGATCATGACTTGGGGAGGCAGGGAGGGGCCTCTGAGCACACAGAACAGAGGCCGTGTCAATTCCAGTTGCGAAGATGTCGTCACAGAAGCGTGACCAAAAATGGTCTTTCCCTTACTGTTAGATTTCGAGCAAGCTCGCATGTTTGAACCCCGCCCACGAGTTACACAATACTTACACAACTGGGGGTTTCCCCAGCGTTGCTTTTGGTCTCACTCTTCTGCTTTTCTTTCTATAGAAAAGACAGATTAACATCTGGCCCCGATTGCGGGATTCTTGCTTCGGTTCAAACCAAATGAGCTGCCACCAGTTGCAGAACACAAGGCCTTCGTATGCTTTGGAGAGGAAGTTCAAGGGTAATTTGAAAGTCAAACCAGGGGCCATTGTCTCTGTCCTGTGGGAGGAGGAACTAGAAGCTTGGGGGAGGGGCTGGGGGAGCCCCTGAGTAACATTTATAATGACTTAACCCAGACTGTGTTTTAGTTCGTTTTTCCACTGCTACTACAAAGTATCACACACTGAGAAATTTGTAAAAATATATATATATTTTTCCCAGGTCTTGAGGTGGAGAAGTGCAGTGTCAAGTTTCCAGCATTTGGGGAGGACCATTTTGCTTGTTCATTATAAAGAGCAGATGTGCAAAAGACCATGTATGGAATAGAACAAATTGGGTCAAAAGAATGTTCTTCTTTTCAGGAGCCCTCTCCTGTGATAACAAGCCCACTCCCATGAGCATTCATTCCTAAGCAGGTCCTGGTCACCTCTCTACACTGTCAAGACAGCAATTAAGTTTCAACCTGGCTGTGGATGGGGCATCCAAGCATGCAAATTGTTGGTGAGCACCACTGCCCTATCACTGACCTCTGTCTCAGGGTACTCATCCTGGAAAGCTAGATGGGCTGTCAGGAACCCTATTTTCCTTGCCGACCCCTGGCTCAACTCACCTTGCCCAGAGCGTTGCAGTTGTGATGTCCATGTTGGTCTCCCAGCTGATTGACTGCACACCATGTTGTACCAGGAACAGCTTGACCCACCCACAGCCACCCTGGGACTCCTTTTATGGAGGGAAATGGAAACAGAAGCTAATATGCCCCATGCCGAGGCCATGGCAGGCCATGGCAGAGGGGTTGAGGGTGACCGCCCAAGCTGGCTCTAAAGCTCAGAAACCCTGCTGACCTGCTTACCATTCCCAAGGAGGGTACAAAGCAGCTGGTTACACTGCTATTTTCAGCCCTTAGTCCCATCACCAAGGTAGCTGGTGGCTCTGCAGAGGGAAGAGAGCAAGATCTGGTGTGGGTCTGCTGTTTCTTACTCACCAGGGAAAACAGCTGGGCAGTGGAACATAGCTACCAGATCTTGCATGAGCTCAGGTTTGAGTTTGAGAAAAATGACTCCTCTAGGTACTTAATTTTCCTTCCCTCATTTTTTTGAATAAACTTTTTTAAAAAAATGTGACAAGAAATTCAGATCAGTCACAAGTGCAAAAAAAAAAAAAAATCTCAATTGATCCTATCTTTACAAATGAGTAAATACTATCATAAAAGTAATTATTGATTCTTTATTGGCAGCAATAGAGTTGGGTTGTATAGCCACAATGTAAGAGCAAGTTGATTAATTTTTATGTAATTGGATAAACATTACAATTTTTTAGGGGGGCAGAAAGTAGTATTTATAAAATGATTTAAATTCAGCTTTGTCTGCAAGTCTCTTCTTTGGTGCCTCTCCTGGCTATATCATTCTTTAAAGTGCAAGATGGTTCTTGGGAGAGACATGGTATGGCCATGATTTGGATCTTAAAGAACACCCCAAAAGCTTGCCCCTGGCCTTTGCTTCTATCGAGCCAATGAAACCATCAGGAGGTTGTGCCTAGAGTGTCATCTTCAGATCAGCGTGCCACTGAGTGGGTCTGTCATTCTGGCCCCTTCCTTTCTTGTTTGCTTCTTGGCCATGAAGTGAACAGTTTTGCTGCACCATGAGCTCACAGTATAAGGCGCTACCTGCCCACAGCCCAAAACAATGGAATGGAACCTCCAAACAACAAACCTTTCCTCATTGTAAATTGGTGACCTCAGATATTTGTTACAGTGGCAGAAAGCTGACTAATAGCATACATTAAACAGACAACTGTATGTCAAGGTAATGTAACTGTGAACTGTCAGAAATGTGGTAAAACACATGTTTTCCCTAAAAATTGCTTACAATAGGCGTGGAGTGTTGAAAGGGACAAAAAGAGAAGGACGGTAAGAAAAGAACTTTGAAGACATCCACTTCATTCTGTGTAAAGGAACCTTGTCTCCGTCATGCAGAAGAGTAAACAGTACTTTTTTGCTTTGAATAAAAACACATCTTCCTTAAAAGTTATGGAAAAGTAAGACTCAAAGTGCTGACACTGGATGAGAGAAAGCCAGAGCTAATTTTCTCATACTTCAGGGTCTATCTCCTGTATTTTGAGTGAGACACTCTCCTTTCATGGTTGTCAAAATATGCTAGTTTCTGAGACCCTTTGACAGCCATCTCCAGATTAAAGCTATTTGCAATGACAGTAATTGATTTACCTTTTTTTCTATGTTGACATTGGCACTGTTTGTGTAAAGTCAATGGTAAGTCAGACTGCTGGTGCCTTAACAGAAACCGGGCAAAAGCATTAAATCATGTTCTTCACTGCCTTGTACTTGCTTAGGAAGTAAATACAAAAAGGGAAAGACCAATCCCCCTCAAGGATTTCTTTGATGAAGCAGTAAAAATTAACTTAAAGAGCACAAGCCTTTTTAGTTTCTGTGTAATAAAATGGAAAACCTGCTGTATACAACTGTCTGAAGGAAATGTAGCTGTGTGTTGAGTTGCCAGCTGAACTAGCCCCTTTATTTGTGAACATCATTTTCACCTGAGAGGACAACTAACAAATGATGTCTATTTGGCAAATTTTGTCTTGGCATTTGGCAGGTTAGTTCTCAGAAATAAATAAAAAAGCCTGTCACTTTCAATAAACAATTCAGGGAGAACATCTTGGCAATGATAAAATCTGAACTTTCGAGTAAAAATGTGAGTTCTTGAAAGTTTGTATCTGTCACTGCTAGCTTCAGTTTCCATGTGCTTTTGGAATAAAATTGGCGATGATATTAACTACTGATCATTTGATAGTCTGCTGAAATGTGTCATCAGTTTGTAGCAATAGTTTCCAAATGACCAACAAATAGTGTGACAAAATCACTGGTAAAAGCCATCTAAAATGTAAGACAGAGCAACTGAATTTAGTGCAGCATGGAAAGTTTGCTATGTTTTCATATTTTATTGCAATAAAGGTTTAAGAAATCACCATAATTTTTGGCATTATATAAAAGATTAACCACTATCGTGCGATACACTATTAAACACTCCCATTTCAACTGTTTATCTGTTAGACCAAACTTTTTCACACGCTCTTATCCAATTATGTCAGAAGAAACTGAATGCAGAAACAAGCAGAAGCATTCAGCTCTTTTATTAAAGAAAATGTTAATAAGGTTTACAAACACCTGAAAGAGAATACCTTGCTTAAAATCTAAGATTTGTTTTAATATTTAACATGGCAACTTTCTGATGGTACTGGGGATTGAACCCAGGGCCTCTCTCAAGTTAGACAAAGGTTCTGCCCCTGAGCTCCACTTCTAGCCCCTCATCTACCCTTCTTGGGTATATCCAGTGGCTGGCTGGTCAGTTAACAACCAGGGCCCTGCAGGGAGAGGAAGCAGTTTCGCCGCTGTGTTTGCTGATCTCTGTGGAGTGAATACTCTCATCACCTGGAGCTGGGATGTGTGGCAGCCATATAGAGTCCTCACGGATTCAGAAGTGTTAAGAACCCAGAGAACCACCGCCGGTCTTTATCTGTCACCTCCCCAGTGGCAGCACTCTAGTGGAGGGACACAGAAAGCACACCCATGCTCACACCCCATGTGCTCATCTGCCTCACAGAACACCCCAATCTCTTCTGTTACTTCTGCCAGAGACAAGTCCCTCTTTTGCCATCCTTTCTTAAATGAACTTTGCATCTGAAGGAGCACACTACTGGGATTCTTGGGGCACCAGATAAACACTAGACACCCCATGACACACAGTGAGGGGCAGTGTAGGGCGCGCAGTTAAAATCCTCTCCACCTCCTCCATTTCAGGAGTGGAGAAGAATGGAGACTGTTATGAGGTGATGTTTACATAAACCAAATATTTTATTGTTCCAGAAAGGCCAGATTACAAAATATTTTATACTTCAGATCAGTCCCTCGCCATGCCAAAGGCTCCCAGGGACTCACGTTCCCAAAGCCATGAGGCTGCAGTACATTAAACTGCTATTTTGGCTGATAAAAGCCAGCCCCAAACCAGCAACTTAAAGTGGTTCAAACTCATATAAATTGAGCTGATGGCTATACTTTCTTTTGGCAGCAAGATGTTCCCGTCACATGTCTGTTTATATTATAAACAGATGTCCCAGTGATAAATAGGTCCCACTTGGAAAAAACAGCCTGTGCTGAACTGTGCTGGCAAGCGCTGCTTCTGGACACGTAGGCCAAGTCGTTCCAGGCTGGCTGTGCTGTGCCCAGGTTGCCCTGGACCCAATCCACAATCTCATCACAGGACGACTCTGAGTCTTCGGAGATGTCCAAAGCCAGTTTGCCAGGAAGTAGTAAAGTCTGTCCCACTTGGAAGTCAGAGCAACTTGACCTTTTGAACAGGCCAGAGCTACACGGTGGACTTTGGTGCTCCGGAGCTTCTTCTCTAGATTGAAACCTTTTCCTCCAGGGGAGCACTAGGAATTCTTGCCTGTCTGGCTTTCTCTGTGCCTCTGGGTGTTGTGTCCAGGAAAACTGGGAAGAAAAACAAAACCCAAGCCCTAAAAACAGCTTCTGGCTGAAGACACAGAGCAGAAAGCAGAGCATGCTATCCAGATGGCCCAAGCCATGCCTCGCTCACTCAGGTCCAGGGTTTGACAGCGACCCCTCCCCGCCCAGAGCCCGCTCTGTCCAACACTCTGAACTTTACACGGAGCAGAGATAAAAATAAAGCTTTCATACAAATTACATTTTTTCCCCCAGTGAATTACTTTTGCAGTAAAAATAGCTGCTACATAAATCCCTCCTGATCTCTGAAAAGGAGTCGCGTATTTTCAAAAATAGTATTCTTATTTTAATCACAGAGTAATGTGAAGCCCAGAAAGGAAACGGCTGGCCAGGGCGAGGTGAGCTGTCGGGGAAACCACGGTTAACACCAAAAAATAAAAGACATCTGTGTACAAACTGATTGAAAGGCATGCAGAAAAGTGGAAAACATATGCCATTTGTCAAGAAAAATACTGCTTTATAGCTTTTACTTTACAATTCAAGGAGAAAACAGGGAGGCCAGGCATCCTCCCCACTCCAAGATAATAACATTAAGTTTCTTTTTTTAAAAAGCCCCCAAATGTACAAAGTACTTGCCAGATAATAACCAAGGCAAAACAAAAACAAACAAAAAAACAACAAAAGAGCAAAAATCCAGGGTCGACCCCTGTGGACCTTATTCCTATAGGTATATTATATGAAAATATCACACTTTACAACACTCTTAGGCTGCACTGGCAGATTAAATCTTTGTAAAATGCCACTCGTGTGCTGTTGAAAAATGGAATAAAATAGTGGATGTCTGCATTCTTATTTCAAATAGTTATATAATTATTTTAAATTACAATATACAATTTCTGTTAAATAGAACGGTATGAGGATTCTAATAGCAATAATAAGATTACAATAATATGTACAAACTTCTGAAATGGCATCTCTGGTTTCCTTCCCTCCCCCCGCATCCCTCTCCGACAGAGACGGTTTGCGCGTTTATTGCTCCTCCTTACAAAAGTCCAAAATCCGTTAGTGAAGGGTTGTCTGTCTGTGACACGCTCCCTCCTCGGAGACTCTCAAGCAGTCAGAACCACCCTGCCGTGTGGCACGGCGTGGCCTGGGCAGATGCAGGCCGGCTTCTGGAGCCCTCAAGACCGCTGCCACACAACAGTGGCACCGCCCGCCTGCAGACTCCAGAGTCGAGAAGCAGAGTCTGTTGCCGCGAGGGGCACGGCCTCGACAGAGGCACGCTCTGGATGAAAAAAGGCCACTGCTTCTCGGCAACTTTCCGGGACGCCTTTCAGGGGTCCTTGAAGCAGCCGGTCTGGACGGGCTTCCCACTCAGGGTCCCCCGGGCCTAGGGTGGGCTCAGGGAAGTCCAGGGACCTCAGTCTTCCGTGTCGGGTTGGACTCCCAGGATGGCATGGAGCTCCTCCGGTGTGAACCCCAGCAAGTTCTGCAGGTCGCAGACGAAGCGGTACACGTAGCGCTTGCCCGATGTCTTGTGGATGATGTTCTTGTCGTAATAGTAGCGTAAGCCCCGGCTAAGCTTCTCGTAGTTCATCTTGGGCTTATTTTTCCTCTTTCCCCACCGGCGGGCCACCTTTAGGGGACACAAAAGAAGAGTGAAATTCATCACACCAACAGCAAAGGGCCCCCAGTTGTGACCTGTGCACCCTAAAGTGCATGAGTCCCACCACAGAAGGCCTGGGGGGCTCTGTTGGTCTTCTAATACACAAGGGACACAGGGTCCTTCCTTGGCTATTTCTCTGCACAGTGAGGCCCCAACTTCCTGGCCTAGCTCTATCTCAGCAAAGCCTTCTGGGCTCTGAGAGTTTAGAGGCAGGAAGCTCTGAGGTGGGGTCAGGCTGGTGCCACCCACCTCCATGTTCCTGTTCTAACCACTGAAGTCATCAGCTGCTGAGAAGCATTCTGAGCCCTATCACACACTCATTCCCCAGTGTTGGGACAAAGGAGGTAACCAATCATGCTCCTCAAGGCCAGGAACCAAGGGCTCCTTTGGCAGCATCCTGGCAGGGCTGAGGTCACTTCTGTCCCTGGCTTCTTGTGATTCAACCCTCTAAGCCACTGGGGGCCACTGCAAGACTCAACTGCCCCAGTGACAAGGACAGATTTGCTAGGGAAGGCACTTTCAGATGGCCATGGGAGGACCTTGGCTCATAGCTGCCTACTGACCAGACACAGACCAAGAAGGGGAGTCTGCACAAGGTCCACGGACAGAGGGGATCAAGAGGTCCCACAGCCACCAACCATGCAACCCATCCTATCTCCTGGTTCTAGTGAATGGCATCTGAACCCACGGTGACAAATAGGGCATGGGCCATACCTCATCAGGGTCAGCAAGCTTAAACTCCCATCCATCTCCTGTCCAGCTAATGAACGACTGGCAAGACTTGTCGGAGAGTAATTCCAGGAGAAACTGCCACAGCTGGATGGGTCCACTTCCTAGAAGGGGGAGAGGGACATGATGACATATTTCCATGGCTTCCAGACAAAAAGGTTCAGACCACCCTAGTGACATGAGCAGACTTGGCACGCAGAGCCAACTCGGAGCGAGCGCGGTTGCTGAAGACAGAAGGGAGGGGCAGTCTAAACACTTCCGTGGGATGAGGCGGACCCTGAGGGCTGGGGACAGCCCCTGAGGATGAGGCAGAGCCTGAGCAGGAATCCTCGAGCCTACTGCTGCACCAGATGTTCTTCCCTGGATTCTGGCTGGGCCGCCAGCTCTTGACACTGCTGTTCCTCATCCTGAGTTTGTTTCCTCACAGAAAAGCCTTGAAGGTTTACATCTAGAAAGTCCCAAAGGAGGGAGAGAATGGGACAGAGGTACTGGGTCTTAGAACGCTGCAGTGTGGGCAAACTGCTCCATGTGTGTGGGACATGGTTTATTCAACACTGATTGCCACACCACCTGTCCGCCTTTTTCCTGAATTACTACTTAGAATCACATTCTCAGGAGGAATATTGTCCTGGACACCTGCTCATCAGTGTGAGGAACAGAAACACCCTGATCTTCTGATCCAACGTCCAGCTTCTTTCCACCAAAGAGCTACTTCCCAAAATGCTTTGGGATAGCCCAGGATGGTGGTGTATGGCTCCATTCCCAGCACTCTGGGGGGCAGAGGCAGGAGGGATGCAAGCTAAAAGCCAGCCTGGGCAGTTAAGTGACTCAGAGAGACCCTGCCTCAAAATAAACAGGAAAATGGCTGGGGATGTAGCTCAGGGCAAAGTCCTGTGTTCAGTCTCCACACACAAAGGTTTCATGTGCGTCTGGAACCAGACACAGCTTGGTAACCCATGCATCCCCTGAGAGCTGTCTGAGGTGGTTTTCCCATCTGAAGAATGGGCTCACGGTCGGATCATGGGTCCCAGACCCAGGTAACTATAGGAGCTGGCAGCCAACAAATGGTAATTAACTTTCCTATTAAAATGGAAAACACCAACGCTATGGCTCTTTATTTTCTTACCAGGCCCAGAACTCCTGGGTATGAGAAGTACTGGGGGTTCATGTATTCTTTACTTTTAACACATTTAAGTAGCTGTTTGTTTTCAATGATTAAAATGTGTGCCCACATATCCTCATTTTCATCTACGGTACTGTGTATTTGTAGGTAGACTTTTTGAAAAAAATCTGTGGTGGCTCTATATGGGCAAACTATGAAAACAAAAGCACATTTAAGGACACAAAAGGCATTTCATATTTCTGCTCTAGTACTATTTGGTTCCAAGGACAGTTTTAGTATTTGTCCTCCCCTGCCTAGAATAGCTCTCACCCTAACCTGAGAGGCCATAGGTAAACAGTGCCAGGGACCTGGGCTGGTCTGGCTGCCCCTCCCGGGCGAGTTTACATTCCTGGAGCGCCTGCAGTGGTGAGTCAGGCGAAGACTCTGCAGCCGCCCACCCCCTTTTCCTCTCCCTCCTCCTCCTGGTCTTCCACCTCTTCCCCCAGCACTGCAGGTGGAAAGCCAGGCAGCTGGTTGTATCCACCCCTCATCCAAGCTCTGGGTACAGGCCATTCCAGCTAGGTGGCTTTGCCACAATCCAGGAACACCACGCGCCAGGCAAAAGCAGCTGCGGGGTGTCAACATGACATACTTTGCCGAGACACACGGGGCGCGCAAAGTGACTGAGGGGCTGTCACACACACCTGTGAAGCCGGCCAGCACCGCTGCAGGGATGACGGGTTTGCCTTGCTCCACTGGGTCACTGCGCTCCTGGATGTAGTCCTTGAAGGACATGGTTGGTTTGCCAAGGCACAGGGACTGGCTGCAGTCGTCCTCGAAGCTCTCGAAGGAAGGCACGCGCTGCACGTCCAGCAGGGATGACTGGCTGTTCCACGAGCGCAGCAGCGAGTCTGAGCTCTCAAAGCTGTCCCCCCCGTTCTCAGGCGAGTCGTGGTCTTTGGGCTTTCCTGGAAGGACAGGGCAGCACATGCAGTGACTCCCGAGGGATGCGGGAAGGGTCCAGAGCCAGGAAGTAATCATCCAGGCTGGTCCTCAGCACAACCACCCCTGGTCTGGCCAGTCACACACTCTCCCCATGTAGAATCAATAGACCCCTCAAGAGGTTCTTCAGCTCCTGTGCCTAGGCCTTGGGACAAATATACAAATCACAACTTCTTTCAACAGAAGAATGGATAGGATGTGTTCTCAACAGTGGAATATTACACTGCAATGATGAAACAGATGGCCATGACGTGCACAGGGCTCAGATATAATGAAAGACAAATGCGAAAGAAGGTATCTTAGATGATTTCATTTCTATGAAGTTTAAGAACAGTAAAAAATAATCCATGATGATAAAATGTCAATGGTTCCCTTTTTGGGTGACAATGCAAGAGGCTTGGGAAAGACATAAAGCAATTTTCTGGGTGCTAAAACTTTTCTGTCTCCATTTTGATGGTAGTCACAAAGGTGTCAAAACACACACAAAGGACTGGGGAGATGGCTGTGGCATAAGTGCCTGCCTGGCAAGCTCAAGGTTCTGAGTTTGATCTCCAGTACAAAAAAAAAAAAAAAAAAAAACAAACCAAAAACTTAGGAAAAACAAAACAAAAAACCATGTGCAAGTCCATCTAATTGTGTAGGCTGAGATTTGTGCACTGTGCATATTTTAAGTCCCCTTAAAAACAAGTCTGTCATGTCGATAGGTCTGCATGCAATTTCCCACTGGGCAAGGAGTTCAGCTGCAAGAGCAGGGACTGTGTCTAGCTTACTGGATGCCTGCACTATCTGGACCAGCGCCTGAAATTTGCCAGCAGAAGATGCTTGCTGGAAGCTCACTTAGCCCAAGGACCCTGCCCGGATGCTTTTACTCAAGAGCCTGCATTTCAGGATCCACCCCACCACATTGCTGAAAGATAGCCCTCTTCTTACCAGAACTGTTGGTGAGCAAATTCAAGTTGCTGCTGGGGAAGTCCTGGCCAACAGAACAGTAGCTGACGCTAACGGTGTTGAGTCGGGACTTGGGAAACATCTGAAAGTCCTGTTCGGAGCTCAGCACCCTGGGTGCCACAGAAGATGGACATATGCTGTCAAGGAGGCTGCCCTTGGGGTAGCTCTGGGTCTGCATTCCATATGCAGCCTGCTCCACACCAAAACCTAGGGCAAAGAGATTGCATAGTGTTGTTGTTAAGCCAGGGTGGCAGGGACAATGAGCTGCATAGCAGGTCCTGAGCAGGGCCCACAAGCGACCACCCATACCTGATCCCAGGGTGGCAGCCCCAACTCCCAAGTGCGGAGCACACTGCTGACCACTTTCCACACACTGTTTGCCACCTCTGTGTGTCATGCTATACTCTGGTGACAGCATCCACCAGCTCTCTACTTGGCTTCCTACTCCACAAACCGCCCAGCCCAGCATTGAGCCAAGCAGAGATAATGACAGCCACTTACGCAATGTGAAATTTTCTAATAGTGACACTTAAAAAGCAAGAAACACACTAATTGTTCATCTTCATTGACCTAATGTGTCAAGTATCACTTCAAGATGTAAACACTATTTGTAAATCACCAAGGAGGTGTTTTGAAATCTGTGTTTCATACTAAGACTTCCAGATCTGTGAGTTTTATATTCCCTATACATCTCAAAGAGGAGCAACCCTATTTTTGCAGCTTGGCACCCACATGTGGCCACCATCTGGGAGACAGGGCAGGTCTAGACTGTCCCTGGGAAGGTTCCAGCAGAGGCCAGGCACCTACCAAACTCACCTAAGGTGTTGTTGTTAATCCACTGGGGAACTGAGTTGAGGTGTGCGTTTTCTTCATACTGATCTTCTGTCTTTTCTTGGTTTTCTGAAAAACAAACACAGGAGGCCTAAGACATCAAATTCAAGTCAAAGCTCCACAGGGAAGATGCTACTGCCCAGACTCTTGCCATATGGGTAACCTTGAGGGGCTATGCAGCATGATTCTCATTTCATCCGATGGTGTTGTGTGGGACTATATATTTTTTCATAACTAGAGTCTCCCAAAATCAATGAAATCTTTGGCAAAGTTCAATTTTCTGCTGTCAAACTGGAAAGATCCAGACCAAGTATTTCATTCATTCTTATTGTATTAAAAAATAGTTAAAACAGTTATGAAGAAACATCTGTCCAGGGGCTGGGGCCATAGGATTAATAAAGTGACTTGTTTCTGATCCGTGAGGATTCTGGTACGCAGCTTCGAGCCTGAATGTTTGCCCATGGTGAGGGGACCTGTGTGCCCATGAACTTTGAAAGATAGAGGTTTACATTTACTAGGAACACGATCACACATACACACACACACACACACACTCATAAACCCAAACACACGCAAAACCATGAACTGGGGTAATAATAATACAAGCTAAGACTGGCCAAATGAGCAGGTTCGCTGGCAACTTTCCAGTTAAGACCTGTCCAAGTTCATAGAACACTGGGGATCTTTAAGAGTAAGATTTCCATGCCCTGAGAAATCAGAACTAAAAGGTGCTGGTGATTCAAGTCCAGGTCTACTTGAGATTCTGAGTCTATGGCAGATGTTGGAACACAATGTGCTTAAGCACAGTAAGTCAGGAATTTTACCTCCAATTCAACAGAGGTGCTTACTTTTCTTAGAACATTTAATTGAAACAATCCCTTCTCTAATTTCTTTTAAAACTCAAACATATCCTAAACATTCTCCTAAACATTCCAGTCCTAAATCAAGACTGTCTGTATTTGGTGAGATCTGTGTCGATGGGTTGTTGGTTTCCATGTAAGAGCCCAGTGGGTAAACAGGTATCAATTACTTCCCTGTTTAAATAGCTAGCACTCTACTCTTCCCCACTAAAATTCTCTGTTGGATTCCTTTAGGTCTTAGTAGAACTCAAGAGTTTATCTGCAAAAGACTCCCTTTCATTAAAGCTGACTTATCTCTTTTGGCTGCGTCGGATGAGCTCCTCACTCACAGGAATTCTTGCTGCCTGCCCTACATACCCAGGCCACTTGGGCCACCACAACAGGTCGCCGGCAGCAGCAAACCATTCAGTGACTCAGGCTCCTGCCTCGAGCTGTGCCCAATGCCACCGACACAGGGCGCACACTCACCTCCAGGCAAAGAGCACCTCATCATCACCACCGCGTACTGACTCAAATGGGGCGTTCAGGGCCACCCCAAGGCTGAAGAAGGCCCATGTCCCCAGTGTCGTCCCCCATGGTGCCGGAGCCAGGCACCCAGCACTACCTTTGATCATCTGCTCCAGATGCTCCCAGAGGATGTCGCCCACGAAGTCAGGCGCCAGCTCCAGGAAACGCTCCTTGCCGAGGTTGCACAGAACCTGGCCGTTCATGCCGAACCGCTGCAGGTTCACGTCCACCAGGCTGAATTCGTTGGTGGCCCACAGAAGCCACTGGCACACTTGCTGCTCATCCCATAGCCAGGGGTCTGCCAGGAAGGAAGAAGAGAGGGCCCGTGGGTGAAGGCGAGGAGAGGCAGGAGACCGGAGCACCACCCCGACAAGGCCCAATTTAACATGCTGGCTGAAGGGGGCAGTGAACTCAGCTGACACGCAGACTGGCTTGGGGTTCTGCATGACGTTCTCTTTATAATTGCTAAACAGCAGCACTGACACCAGGTCCAGATCCAACCCGAAGTCAAACCCCCAGTCCAACCCGGGCAGGAAGCCAGCACTTACTCTTAGGGATGCCGAGCCTCCGCCGCTCCTTCTGGAAACCGCTGAAGGTGGCTTTTAAGGCCTGGCTCATCACAGCCTTGCTGCAGGGGGTCAGCAGAGGCAGCTCACAGTTGGCAGCGTCTGGAAATAAACCAGGGGACAGGAGTAAGTCAAGGGACAGCAGTGATGGGCACTTTTGAGAGAAAGCTTAGCTTGCAGTCAAGAATGATTCTGACCTCAAATCTTAACATAATTTTTTTCTTTTCTTTTTGTTTGTCTGAGACAGATTCTTGCTATGTAGTTCAGGCTGGCCTTGAATTCAACTTCTGAGTGCTGAGATTACAGGTGTGCACCTTCCTGCCTAGCAACATGATTTCTTAAGAGTAGAAATACAGGGCTGCGGATGTAGCTCAGCGGCAGAGCACTTGCCTGGGATGTGAGAGGCCCTGGGCTAGGTCCCCAGCGCCTCAATAAAACAACACGCATTTACAACATATAAAGACATAAACAAAATTGTTTTAGTCAGGACTGAGAAATCATGCGATGTTTCAGAACTACCTATGTGGATAGAATCTGCAATGAAATCCAAGCTTATTCTATTTTGTAGAGCTTCAGAAAGCAGAGATGTACAGGTAAAATTTTTAACTACTGCCTATTTTAGAATTTTAGACCAGAACGCAAATTGCGGCTTTTGCTCAAACAGCTTAAAAAGGATTGCCAATGGGAAATTTGGAAGTTATGTCTATTAAATAAGCTGTGGGCAAAGGGACCCAGACATCATACCCGAAGCTCTGCAAAGTAGCTGCTCTTTCAAGTTTTCGGAGAAACAATTTTCTCTGGCTGCATTCAGAAATTTGAAAAATGAGACACGATTGCTCACCCGGCATTACACTTATGCAAGCCCAGGTATTTTGATTAATGCTCTTGGCTGTATTTTTTTCTAGCACCTACTTCATATGGCAAAGCAATCTCTGAAATGTTTCCAACCAAAAACTCTACCAAACTGCAGAGACATTATCTAACACGCTCTTCCCTTGAAAAAGAATAATGACCTTAAGAGAGAACTGTAGACAGAGATAAAGATGGGTAAGAATATGTTGGCTCAAAACTGAGGGAGATGATTTCATATATAGGAACCCAGAATGGAAAGCCGGCGTCCAGGGTTTTAAGTCTGTTTGGCAGAGTACACCAGGGAAGGGAGGACATCATTATCTGGTGCTGAAAACACCCCTAAGGAGCAGCTCAGGGGCTCCCCTGCAGTGCAGAATTGGATCTCATGGGGTGCCGTTTGGCACACGGGAGTAAAGACATCAGAATTGCTAAGTCTACTCAAAGACCAAGGGCCTTTGCGCCCTTTTCATAGCGAGGATTCAGCGTGTGGACATCCCTTGCTTAGGAACCTGGTCTCTTTATTAACTGAACTACTTAGGGAAACTGGGCACCGTTCATCAAGGCTGGGGAACAAATTACCATGAGAAATGGAATCCAAGCCTGTTGGCACTTCTTGGAGCGTTTGCTCTTCATTTAGAGAGGGGAAAATAGCAAACAGAGACCCATCAAAGGTGTCAAAGGCTGGCTGGCGCTGCAGAAACAGAAGGAAAACGAGAAACAATAAGGAACTGATTTAATCACCTATTTTAAAAGTGGGTAATCTCACGACACACCCTGACTGAGCTGGCAACTATAAAGCAGCACAGTATTCACCACCAGTATTGGAAACAGACTTCCTAAGAAGGTCGAAGTGACCCACACGATTCCATTGTTCTCTGAATTATTTAACCTCACAGGGTCAGAATGACTGGGAATTTCAGTGGCCTGATCAACTTAATAAATTAAATAAATCTGAAAAATAACAGAATCTTAGCACCATACTGAGAGGAAGCTTGGAATCCCCTGTTGCAAATACCTGCTATTCTAATTCACAGGAGAAATATTTAATCAGGCTGGGTATAGGGAACTACTAATCTGCGACAGGTACAGTTGGTGTGACACAGTAAAGCAAAAGGCAAAGTACTGAACACAAATCAAAACTCCAAAGTGAAAAGCCTTTCTTTTGGAAGCATTTGCTTTGAAATATTTACCATGAAACAATTTAAGTGAAACTGGGGACATTCTTCCTTATCCATTCCAATGGTTTAGAAAACATTTTAATATGTGAAAAAATTCCTTGAGTTTTCACTTTATATAAATAAAGGGTATTACAAGGAACCCCTCCATCTATTCACCAAGAGCAATGATTTCTAAAGGAAACAGGTTTAAAGTTAAACTTTCTACAGTTGAAGAGAAACACACAGCACAAAGATGAAACTGCCGATGGCTGCTAGTCTCATATAATATTTGTGGGGAAAAAAAACAGCCTTCTGTGGAAGACACATTGCTAAAACAGAACGTGTTCATTCATTATTGCTTCACTTGTGGAGGAAAAACAACGATGGTTCCATTTTTCCAACATAATGTGGAAATCCCATGTTATGTGTAATACAATGACCCATCTGTTGAGTCATCAATTTAAAAATGTGCAACACATTTACAAATAAAATCAGTGTGCTTTCTTTTAGAAACGCAGAACAGTGAATGACGCATTATGAAAGAGAGGCCGCAGAAGCTGGGGCCCAGCCCAGCCCTGTCCTAATGCCTGCGCTCTATCTAAGGAGGAAAACCTAACCAACGCAGGGCAATATGCTCATGCAGGCCTATACTCTTATCACAGGGCTTGGTTTGGCAAAACATCCAGTAGATGTTAAAAATTCCCACTAGTGCTGCCCACACAACCAAGCGCCTTTCCGGATTTCAAGTTCTTTTTTTAAAATCAGGAAGCCAAACAACAATACAAACCCCTGTTTCCTATTTCAACGCATAAAATTTTGGCGATGACTGTTTCTTCTTCGAATCCAGGCATCACAAGAGCCATCATCAAATTCTTCTAATTAACAGAAGGATTTTCTTTGGGGTAAGGTTTCAACATAATAGTCCTAATTTCTTAGGCCATTAACCACTTGATCAAATCAAAGCAGAAAACTCACTGAAGTTTGCTGATCTCAGAATAAAAATATACTTGTGGCCAATTTTGGTGTGTGTATGTGGGGGGCTATTATCAAAAAAATAGCTTCAATAAGGACTGATTAAGAGGAAAAGGTGGAGGAGATCCAGCACCAGAAAGTCACATCCAAGCTAAGTTTTAAGGAGAATGATCCTAAATTACTTCTGCTGGAACAACACTCTGACCACACAACTCTCAAAAACTATCAGAGTCTGCTGTCACATCTGCAGAAAGCAAATAGGAAATCACCAGTGTGTGTGCGGGAAGAATGTTTCTGAAAGGAATTATGACAGAAGCGACAGGAGATGTGTTAGGCAGTGCAGATCCGGCTCTTTCATCTTTCATCCAGTTTCTTGGTCTACATAAACAGGCCTGCTGTTCTCTATGAGGTTAGGAAAGGCTCCTTAAACCCCACAGGTGTCACTTAGCCCCTTTGAGAGCGGGCAGCAGCTTCTTTCAAGCACTTGCATTTCACTTCATCTGTGGCCTTCTCTATCTACAAAATCTCAAACTGGACAGAAAGGCCATAGAAACAGCCCCTCCAGCTATTTCACTGATAATCACAAGATCTGTCTTTTCATTTGGATAGAGTCAGACATAAAAGGCTTCATTATTTCTGAATTAAATGGTTTCCTATCTTGAAAGACATGTAGAACCTACATCAAGATATCCATTATACAGACCAGAAAACTGAGGCCCAGAGAAAGTAAGCACAGTCCTGAGTCACATGGCCAGGAAATTAAAAGGCGGGGGCGAAATCAATTTCCTGGGACCCCACTCAATATTTTTCCTGCAGAGATGGAGTATTTCCAATTTGTAAAAAAAGAAAAAGAGAAAAGATTCACTCACTTACCTTGAGTGTCCCTCGAAAACCATTAGCCACAGGAGCTACCTGGTCCATGTTCTTCAGTCCAAAATCATTCATCTTGAAAGAGAAGAGGAAGTCCAGTGTCAGAGAGGCAATAAGTTAGTCATAAGCATATTTTCAACAAGTCCCCAATAATGGCTGGATGGGAGTTCGACAGATGACAGGTCATCACAGCCAGATGCTGGAATGCGTTTCTAAAAGGATTTTTTCAGGGATTTGAGGAAAGAAGAGCTCAAGCACAACAGGGATGAGCTATTTAGGTATTTAAATAATAATGCTGATACACCACCAAATTTCAATTTGATAGGAGACTCCAGATTAAACCACTGCTTGCTTTCTGGCTGGCCAGTCAGAAACCCCCTCCCTGGGTCAGAAGGTGAGGGTGTCCTGCTTTCCATTAGTTTCCGCAGCATGGCAGCCAAGGTAAGGGCTTGGGGACACAAACAGGGCAGTGGGCCACCTCAAGCCTGCACAGGACACGCTGTGCTCCACCTAGGATCAGATCCAGGCAAGCCTGCCCTGCCAGGAGAGGTCCCAGAATGTCCTCCTCTTCTCTCTTTCCCTCTAACAGGCAAGAAAGCACACTCAGAAGAGGGGCAGTGAGTGGGAGACCTTACGACCAAACTCCTCTTATGAGTTTGTGATCTTTGGTTCTGTGTGTTGCTTGGCCGTGCGTTTCTTCAAGAGCAAGTAATTCCAAGCACAAATTCGCCCACTGGGTTTCAACAGTCGAGGCTTACACAGAGCTGTGCAGACCAATATGATGGCTGCCAGGCACTGAGAAACTGGCTGTGCTCTGAGAGCAGGACACTCATGAGATACCCAGGCTTTGGCAGAAAAATGGAAAACTGACTCAATTATGTGTTTCTGCACTGCATGCTTACATAACAGTTTGAATACAGCAGGTTAACCAAAATCAATTTCACCTGTCGTGCTATTTTTAACATGCTTGGTAGAAAATTTAAAAGCATACATGTGGCATGCAGTCAGATACTGCTGTACAGGACCGAACAGTTCTTGGGGCCCTAATCTGTACCTGTTCAGTCATGCAAATTGAGCAGGCAGAAAGGCACTGCCATAATACTGCCAGATGGCTAAATAAAACCATTGAGGAACTAACACTCCACAAATGAGCAGGGCAAGCACTGTGAAGGTAGCTTTTACCTTGAGCCCTCAGTGCAGCTTGGGGTTCTCCAAAGTGCCCACCTTCCCTCTTCTCTGGGTGCACCCACCTGTCACAGCCCAGAACCCAACCCTAATCACTGTGCAGTTGATGGGGCACACTGGAGACAGCAAACAGCACAGTCCATGAAAACAATGTATTTTGTGTTTGTGTTTCCCTATCTTCTCTTTATGGTCAGCATTCATAGCCAAACCACTGCCTTAAAGACCCAACCCCTAACCCAACACACACACACACACACACACACACACACACACACACACACACACTTGAATGAAACAAGACAGGGCAGCAAGAATCCTAGAGAAGGCTGGAAAGGCTCAGAGTTGCAGGTATGCTTACCGTGGCCCCAGGCTGAGGAGTGTTAAGTCACAGTCTTATTCCAGGGAGAGGAAGGGACGTCCTGGCTCTCAAGTGGCAACACTGGCCACTCAAAATCTCCATTTGTTACATTATGCCCCCACAACCATACGGGAATCAATATTTATTGTCAAGGAAGGCTGCCAGGACTCTACGCCTGGTCACCAAGGGCCAAGCCGTGTGCTGAGGGACCTTAAGTCCCTATTGCCTAGAACCTCCTGCATTCCTGAGATGGGGATGCCACAGCACCCTAACATGAGGCCACTGAGGTCAGCACCTGGGTGGAGGTGACGGTACAGCTCCAGACTACCCCACATCCTGACACAGGGCACACGAGTATTATTAAGAATACTGAAGGCCAAGTCCTTCACTACCACGTGAAAGTCTATGTTATCTACCCAGGTGAAGTCAGTCCAGTCACCTGTTGATTAAACAAATAAGCCTCAAACAGAAAAACTCAATAGGACACACAAATTAAAACACACACACACACACACACACACCCCACCACCACCAACAAAAACAGCGAAAACAACAGCACAGACACCAGGAAGGTTGGAATCATCCATCCAGAGCTTGATGGGGTGGCACTTTTTGGTCACTTAGTTTGTCAGATGCTTGTCGACTTAATTCTATGTTTTTTTAGCATCTGAGATGGAAGGCAAAGATGGGAGAGCTTTCCCGCTTTTGTGTACAAATAGAGAGAAGGCGGCATACCACTCCCACATAACGAGCTGTAATTACCAACTACACAACAGAATTCTTTTGTTGTGGAGCTATTAATGAGTTTTGTACAACCCATGTAGAATTAAAGAGCTCTACTAAATGGTTTCAGGCAGACACACAAATCATCAAATTTAAGTTCACTTAATTCTACTCTACTGGGCTCATTAACTAGGTGAACTGGTCAAGTTTTTTCACACAAGTCGATTTCAAGTTTGGGTTCTTTTGTGCTATAGGACTAATCTTTGCTTTTGAGCAGAACGACAAGAAAAAAAAAATGGCAGAAATGTAAGCAACTGAGAATGCTGCATTTTAAAACAAGGAAAATTTGCCTGACAACAATATTCTTATTGGAACAAGAAATCCCTTATGTAAGATCAGAGCACAGGTTTGTTTGTAGGTAAATTTGGGGAAAAAAAAATCTAAACCATGACACACTTTTGAAGGTTGGCTTGCTCGTCGTCTTGAAAGCCATCAGTTTAGAAAGATGAGTGACTAATCCCAGAAAAGGGGGGTTGATTGTCTTCCCCTGGGTCGCACACGATATTACTCGCAATTTTAATAAAGCTTAATGTGGAGATTTCTCCCACGATCGGCAGATAAGAGAGGGCGCTTCCATTGTGCAGAACAAACGCTATCTCTTCCCCGGTGAATTAACATAAATTACTCTAATTTCCAAGAATGCTCGCTTCTTTACTTTGTAAATAAGCAGCAATTCAACTATTTCAGACTACCCTAAAAATCCAGTACCAGCTAACCTAAGTCTCATGTGCTTAAAATTAAAAGGTGAAAGATTTACACGATCTGAAGAGAAACTAGAGTATATGTACTTAAAATTAAAAAATAAAAAAACAAGAAATTTAAAATAAAAACCCAAACACACAAAGGCAAATGGTCAAATTTTCCTTTCATTTAAATGCTCTAAAGAGAAAGAATGTAAGGGCCGCGGAGTGCAGGCACCCGGCTCTGAAGGTGCCCCGTGCCCAGAGGCCCCTGCCGGACCGGGATGTGGCCAAGCAGGTGACAGAGGACCTGCAGTCTCCCAGGCGCCTTTCCAGCAAGTCACCCCAACCCAGGGCCACCTCGGACACCCTCTCGTGACTCTCTGTAGTGAAATTAGTCCTCTAGGGCGCGCCCTGGGACCCCCACCAGGCCCGCGATTCTTTCCAAAAAACAAAAGCGCCCCCACACCGCCCGCGTCCGGCCACCCGCGCAGCACAGCCCCACGCGTGATCGAGACCGCCACCCCCAGGGCCACCAGGAAAGAGGCCCAAGCGGAGATCACACGCGCGACCCGAGTTCCCGGGGCGATCCACGGCCTCTGATCCCGGCTGCCGTGGGATCGCGCCCAGGGATCGGCCCTGGAGCGCCGCGCCCGCCCGCTGGGGGTCCCCGCCAGCGCGCACTCTCCTGGCGGCTCTTACCTCGCCGCGGGGCAAGGCCGGCGGCCAGCGGTGGAGCTTGGGTTGTGTTCTCGGTAGCGCAGCGGGAGGCGAGCACGGGCGAGGATCGGGATCGGGGATCGAGGCCGGGGCTGGGCGCAGATTCGCTGGGCCACTCCGCCCTCGGCGCCGCGGTGGAGGAAGTAATCAGCCCGGCCCCTTCGCGGCGCTCTCTTCAGAAGCGGGGTAGGGCCGGGAGGCGACGCGGGGAGGAGGAGAGAGACGGGCAGGGGAGGGGCGAGGGGCGGGGAGCGGAGGAGGAGCGGCGCCCGGCGCGCAGGGGCGAGGCGCGGGCTGTGGGACTGCGGGGGCGGCCGTTTCAGCGCCGGGGCGGGGAGGAAGCGGGACCTTCCGGCCCACCCGGCCCCGGGCCTTGTCCCGGCTCTGTCCCTGGGCTGTCTGTGCCTGCTCCCGGGGCCTGGGAACGCGGAGCCTCCAGGTCGGCCGGACGCTTGTTCGATTCCACAGGAACTAGGCCTGTGATTCCTGGAGCTCAAGGGAAGCAGGGTTTGGGCCTCCAGGTGTCATTGGATTTCTAGTCCTGCTGTCGTGCAAAGGACCTAGAGCTGAGGTCAGGAAAAGTGCAGAATGACCACTGCAGGGAGCCCGCCAAGTCTAGCCAGGGAGGCCAAGCTGCCTGCCCTGGTAGCCCTTTGCCACGGCTCCAAGTGCGTGGCGCCCCCTAGAGCTGAGTGCCCGCGAGGCGTCATCCTGATTCCACAAGGCCTTGGCTTTCCCACTTTCCACAGGAGGGAAGTGAACCGCGCCATAAGTAACCCAACAGGTCCTCTAAATGGCCAACTCAGGAATAAAACCCGAGTTCAGCTACTTTGGTCAGAAGGACCAGCCATGCAGTGGTTTCTTCCCGTGTTTTATTAGAAGGTGCTTGAGTCTGCGGCTGGAAACTAGTGCTTTTCCTATTTAGACTCCTCACAGGCTTAATATTAAGCAAGAGAGTTTAGATTTCTCACGTGGACATGAAGCAGAACAACCTTACATAGGCAAGGCCACGGGACCGAAGGTTGGTACATTCAGGAGCTGCTATACTGGGCAGGGGGAGAAGGGCTCAGTTTCTCTGGTACCTAGAGTTCCCGGTTTCCATAGCAACCCGGGATCAGCGCTTATCGTTGGTTGATTGAGGTCCTGTTGCACTTCCATGTTTCTCCCGTGGGAGGGTGTCCAGGTGTCAGGTGCATGGGTCAAGGCAGCGTCTACACAGCTAAAACAACCAAGCCCTAAAGGAAATGCTATTTTTTGGAGGAGAGTGAATCAATTCTGAAAGCTTCTCAGTGTATACTCAGGCCTTGATCAGAGAACCCAGAAAGGTCAAGAAGGAGCTCCATAAATGGAATAGAGATCCATAGTATGTTGCCATGGTGATGTGAAAGAAGTGTATGTATGCCGGTTTTTCTTTTCTTTCTTTCTTTTTTTTTTTTTTTTTTTTTTTTTTTTTTTTGCCATAGCAGAAAATCCTGACTCTTCAGGAGTGCAGTTCCAGTTATCAGAGGATATCTCCCACAGGGCATTCGTGGACGTGGCAGTCCCCTGAAGCACAGATGTGTGGAGCTGAAGTGCTTGTCCATCCCACCTGGTCTTGAGCCCATGAACTCCCAAGGGGCTCCCTGAATCAGGACATCTTTCTCTTTGCAGGGCTGGCCCAAGCTGAAGTCTAGAAGTGGCACTTTATATACCGGGCTGTTTGTAGCATATATGAGTAGAAAGCTTTGGAAGGAAGGAGCCCACGGGTGGGTAAACTGCACAGGCCCTCTGCCTGCTAGCCTCGGCCTCCCCTGCAGAGTCAGTCAGGCTGCTTGTGGGCACCATGTCATCAGACAGTTTATAGAGAAACTATCAGCAGGGTTGCAGGTTACAACTACAGTGATTACATTTCTCTTTCTAACCTCTCCTTTGAGCCTATTGTATGAAAAACCCTATAATATCATGTACATGAAAAAAAAATCCTTACCCTCTTGGTTCTGATTGTGTGAAACTGTTTAAAAAGACAGTAGCACCAAGCGTAGAGGTCAGAGGTTCTGGCAACCTGCTCATCCAGGTGATCCAGAAGCCTAGATCTAGACCCCACCTTCGTTTCACTGCCCCTGTCTCTTCCTATGAGGCCTTGGCTAATCCCAGGGACCCCTGACTAGGGTCTTGGGCCAGGCCTGATAGCCCTCTGCCTAGGGCAGCTGCCAGCCCAAGATACCATGGCAGATGCTGCTTCTTGGGCTGTTTCTGGACTCCTTACAGTTTTTCCTACCTATTATTAGTTGGTTTCCTAGTTACTTTGCTGAATTTAAGCCTAGCCAGGTCAAAGCCTGTGATTACTCATTGACTATTATAGTGCCATTCACGGGGAACACAGGGCTGGACAGTAAATTAAACCTAATAAAAATGCAGCCCTTCAATGTGGGGATCAAAAGTCGATGTCAAGAGGAAATTGAAAGTGGGAAGGAACAGTGGGTAAAGGGATGGGTGCCCTGTAGCAACTAAGCACGAGGGCAGGGTGAGTCTCCCCCACCAACTTGGAGAGGAGAGTCATTAACCAACAGCCAGAGAGTGAAGTGCAGACAGAGGACTTTAGCAGCCATAATTATAAAAAAATAATTAACTTACAAAGCCATCCTTTAATGAAAAATAACACAATTAAGTTTCCTTACAGGCTTCTCTGTATTTTCCTTGCGATCCAGATCAATAGTCAACACAGTCCTTGGTAGTTTCCAGTTGCAAGTTAAACAGACGTCATTGCGTCTGAGGTGTATCATTTATTCTTTCAGCAAACATAGTGCCAGATGCTAGGAGGACAAAGGTAAATAAGGCTTTCTCCCTGCCTCTGAAAAAGTAAAATGAAGTATGTGTGCCATGTTGTCAAAAATCACACACTTTTATGAGTGGATTGAGCCCAAGGCCTTCACACTGACCTATATCCCTATCCTTTTTTATTTTGGGAAGGGGTCTTATTAAGTCACTAAATTGCCCAGGCTGGGCTCCAGCTTGTGGTCCTCCTGCCTCAGCTTCCTAGAGTGGTGGTAGAAATAAGGTAATCTGTGTTAAAGCAGTGGTGGCTGCTTCGCTGAGTGTATTGAGACAGGAATGGAAGGAGTCAAGTTTCAGAACCCAACACCTCCTTCTACCTCCACCTCTCCTGTTCCTTTACTGGCAGGAACAGGTAGCTGGAGTCCACCCATGACCTCCCAATGGGTGGTCCAAGCTTCCCACAGCAAGTGATGTCTGTCTGTCTTTCATTTTAAAGAGGAAAAAAAAACCCCAAAATTTCAAAACTAGATAATAGGAAGGTAACAATGGTTAATATAGTGTATAGTGTTATCTTTAAATTATTTAATCAGAAAACAAAATAGTTACTCAGAGCGCATGATATTGGTATTCAATTGTCCAAACAATATTAGCAGAAACCTTTCTTTTCAATGAACTAAGACAAATTAGTAATTTAACTAATATATATATGTATTGCATGTTTTGCTTTTCCCTTTCTTCTTTTCTCCATTTCCCTATCCCAGATTCTCTTTCCCTTTGAAGTTTCTTTTCATTTTATGATATCTGTTGTACAGTTTGAATTTTTTAAAAAAATGTTTATTTATTTATTTGGTACAGGGTCTCACTACACAGCTCAGACTAGTAGTGATCTTCCTGTCTCAGCCTCCCCAGCCCTGGGATTATAGGCATGTGCCACCATGCCTGGTTTTGGTGGCTGGCACAGCGTGTCCAGGGTTCCAGGGTTGGCATGACATGCCATAATGGGGATCAAACTCAGGTCCTTGAGCTTGCCAGGCAAGTGCTTAGATAGCAGTGCTACTTCCCCAGCCTAATCCTAGTTTTTTTTGAGGAATCTCCACACTGATTTCCACAATGGTTGTACCAGTCTACGTTCCGACCAACAGTGGAGAAGGGTTCCTTTTCCCCCACAGCCTCTCCAACATTTGTTACTGGTTGATTTCTTGATGATGGCCATTCTTTTGGGGTGAGATGGAATCTCAGGCCTGTTTTAATTTGCATCTCTCCAATGACTAATGATGTTGAACATTTTTTTAGATGTAATTATTTGGTACTTGTATTTCTTCACCTGAGAAGCATGAATTCATCTCAGATGCCCATTTGGGGTTGGGTCTTTGGGAGGTCTGATGTTTTGGGAGCTTTTTATATGTTCTCCTTAGCAATCCTTTGTCTGAGGAGCAGCTGGCAAACATTTTTTCCCACACTGAGTTGTCTCTTCACTCTGTTGATCGATTCTCTTGCTGTGCAAAAGCTTTTTAAGAAGATGAGGTCCCAGTTGTTGATTCTTTGTGATAGTTCCTGTCCAATTGGATGTCTGTTTTCTTCATTAACCCATTTCCCATTTAGAAAAAAGGTGCAGTTTCATTTAATTTAAATGGAGGCCAGCCTTCATTTAATTTTCAATGATCGAAGATGACTGTATTTTATAGATATATCACTCAGGAAAGCAGAATGTTGTAAATAATATGATTTTTTTTTTTTTTTTTTTTTTTTTTTTTTGTCTTCAATGACTCTCCGTATACTTGAGCCACGCGAACATAATACTCAAAGCAAGCTAGTTCAAGGCCCGCTGGGGTAGGGTTAGGACCGCCATCCGAGAGTCTTCTCAGAGAAAATGCTGCCCCCGCAAGCAGTGCTGCTGACTAAAACAGGAAATGGCTTCAGACTCCTGGAGGAGCAAACATGATACCCTGAGGGGTAACGTGTTTTCCTGATGCTCTTGATCATTTCTCTTGCCTGCTGGCAGCTACCTTTGTCACTTGGGTTGCCTGGGGCCCTGAAGACAGGACAGTTGGACAGAACCTGCCCATGAAGACCCAGTTCAGCCTCCCTGGCCATCCAGCGTCTGCCTCAGTTCCCTCCGTGTCCGACGATGTGCCCGCCACACTTGGCAGTCTGAGCCCATGGCAGACCAGTCAGTCCCCACTCACCACTTGCCCCCAGCTCAGTGCAAAGTCGCAGGTCACAGCAAGCAATCAGGTCGAAACCGGCACTGCCCACAGGAGCTGTGGTTTCTGTGACTGTAATTTTCTGGCCTTGGGTGGCTAGAGGCCAGGGAATGGAGTCCCGGATTTTAAAACTGGAACCAATTTTAGAGAGTTGGTAACTCAGGCAGCTCCTAGATTTACAGAAATGGAAACAGAGGCCC